CATTTACATTTAAGCCCAGGGATTATTGGCGGCTTGTGGTGTAGTAGTTATGTGTAGCCTTGTTAGCCACAAGGTCCACCGGAGAAGAACAGGGCTTTCTATTCATGTAAAGCGTTATCCTCTTGGGAACTCACAGGGGCAGTTCTACGCCGTCCTATAGACGTGCTCTGAGTCGGCATCAACTCGGTGACTGTGGGCTTTGGGGGCAGGGATAATCAGACCATCAATACATAGCTCCATCCCTCCAGCCAGGTGTCAGACCAGTACAGTCTGAGGCAGTGGTTCTCAACCTTCCTAATGCCGCTGCCCTTTAATACCTTTCCTCATGTTGTGGTGACCCCCAACCATCAAATTATTTTCATTGCTACTTCATCATTGTCATTTTACTCCTGTTATGAATCGGGCGACCCCTGTGAAAGGGTTGTTTGACCCCCTCAAAGTGGGTGCGACCCCAGGTTGAGAACCGCTGATCTGAGGTTTCCGTCTCCAGGCTTCTCGGAATGGCTCTGCCTCCCCTTCTGCATCCCTGAACAACCCACAGGCTTGAGAGAAGTTGTTACTCTTGAGGAGGGGGCTCTTAGATCCTGAGCCCCTGATATCAAACTGAATCCCAGCAGACCAGATCCCAAACTAGGGTACACTTAAGGGTTTGATTAACAGCAGGTTAGCTCTTTGACCCTGTCTATCATAGTCTATCAGGCTTTTTCTTTTATGAGCAAGGCTTCTGGTAGCGTCTCTAAGACACCTTTGCCCACCTATCCCAACGCCCTTCGTGTCACAGCCCAGGGTTTCTCCTGTGGCACCACCGTGTGATCGCTGCATGCTTTAGCTGCACACCGCCGCCTTTGTACATTTTAGGGGAACGTTTGTGTGTGGGGTGAGGGGGTGCTGATGGCACCTATCAGGCTGGCGACATCCAGCGATTCCAGCGTAATGCAGTTGGTGGAAAAGATGACCCTCTTCTCAGTGCAGCTTCGAAACCAGGAAGCAAAGTCATCTTCTATCGTGGTTCTTTCTTCAAAGCCATTTTGGCTAGTCTGGGACTTTTATTGCAAGTATATGCAAAATTTAGGCTCCGTTTGACAACTTCTGCAAAAGAGACCGTTGGAATTTTCCAAACTGGCATTGATTTTGTTTCACTTCTGCGGCAGTGACGCGGTGTCCACAGCAAAACCGAACACCAGCTCAGCAGTTTCCAGGTGCACAATTTGGCGACCTGGACGATGCTCTTCAAGTTGGGCAGTCAGGCATCCTCCCCTCCTTCTGGAGTTTTCCCTCTGCCATTCTCACTCGCCGCCATCAGGTGCCCCTACAGGACAGGGCAGGACGGCCCCTGTGAGTTGCCGAGATTGGAACTCCATGAGAGTAGAAAACCCCCTCTTTCTCCCGAGGAGCGGCTGGTGGTTTCAGACTGCTGACCTTGCGGATCTCAGCCCAGCTGGTAACCACTAGCCACCAGGGCTCCTGTCCCTCCACCATTCACACGCATAATTCTAAAGACGAGTTAGAACCAGCTGGATGGCAGTGCTTTTTGTGTGTGTTTATTTGACCCAAACTCAAGCGCCCCCTAAGCTGCTTTAGCAGCGGGTTGAATTGCTGTTGTCAGTTTGAGCCCATGTAGCTAGTGCTGTAAAAGAACACAGGGACCGAGGCAGACATTCTTTTACTCGCTAAGCTAAACTATATCGGTCTAGGCAAGCCCTGTTGGGACAGTGATTTAGTGCCCAAGTAGGAACCAAGCCATGTGGGTACAGCTCTAATAGAGACAAACGAAAACACTGTCTCTGGGCGGAGTCTGACTCATAGCCACTCTAAGTCAGTCTAGAAATGCCCCTATGGGTTTCCGACACTAACTCTTTACTAGAGTAGAAAGCCTCATCTTTCTTCCACAAAGCAGCCGGTAGTTTCAAACTGCTGACCTTGTGGTGAACAGCCTGACACATAACTACTACGCCAACCAGGGCTCCAACTGGCTGTATAGGAAAAGTATTTAAAGATGACCCTGGGGCAGGAGTTTTGGGGGTTTATCTGGTCCCTCGCGCTAGAGCAGCGGTTCTCAACCTGTGGGTCACAACCCCTTTGGGGGTCAAAGTACCCTTTCACAGGGGTCGACTAAGACCCTATTTCCGATGGTCTTAGGAACCAAGACACCGCTCCTTTCTGTATCCAGGCGGTTTGTACACATGCAGATACGCCCACATATGAGTTCCTGGCGTGAAGACTGTTTATCCGTGCTATACCATGCTTCAAGACAAAATGTCATTTATTTGTCTTTATAAATAAGTATTTCATAATATATAATGACACTGTTTTTGTGATTAATCACTGTTTTAATTATGTTCAATTTGTAACAATGAAAATACATCCTGCATATCAGATATTTGCATTATGATTCATAACAGTAGCAAGATTACAGTTATGAAGTAGTAGTGAAAATAATGTTATGGCTGGGGGGGCGGTCACCGTAGCATGAGGAACTGTCTTAAAGGGTCGCAGCATTAGGAAGGTTGAGAACCACTGCTCTAGCGAGTCTGGGTTTCAAGAGACTTTGAAATTCTGCTTCACAGGGGTCCCTTCTTTGATCAGGAGCCTTCTATAGCCTCTCGGAACAAAACATTCAGTCATGACAGCTGGTCACTGTCCAGGTCTTCTGGTCTCGTGGCCAAGGAGGCAGGGGGTGGTGAGAGCAACCAGCCATGTTCCGTTGTCTTCTGTTCACCACTCTCCATGGTCCTCCGCTGCTTCAGGTGACAGAGAATCTTTCACTCAGATTGGCAGAAGCCATGCTCCCAACACGGTTATATCATCTGACCCAGATCAAGAGCGTTTCCCCAGGAATGAGTAAAACTCAGGGCTGTGTGCTGTCTAGTGAATGTTAAAAATGATTTGTGTTTACATGTGCGGCCCCTCATCTTTGAGTCTCTGTGATTAAAAAAAAAGATGATTGGGGCCTCTTTTTAAAAAAAAAAAATTTTGTTTGGGGCTTGTACAACTCTTACCACAATCCATACATGCATCCATTGTATGTCAAACACATTTGTACATTTGTTGCCCTCATCACTCCCAGAACATTTGCTTTCTACTTGAGCCCTTGGTATCAGACCTCATTTTTTTTTCTTATTGGGGGCTCTTAGAGCACTTAACAGCAATCTGTACATCAATTGTATCAAGCCTATTTGTACATATGTTGCCACCATCATTTTCTAAACATTTATTTTCTATTTGAGCCCTTGGGGTTAGTGCCCCACCCCCCACCCGTGATTTTCAGCCCTGGTGGTGCAGGGGTGATGCATTGGGTTGCTAACCTCAAGGTCGGCAGTTCAAAACTGCCAGCTGCTCCATGGGAGAAAAATGAGGCTTTCCACTCCTGTATAGCTCTACAGTCTCGGACCCCCGCAGGGGCAGTTCTGCTCTGTCCTTACAGGGTTGCTGTGAGTCCCTTGCCCATGTATGAAGCACTGGGCAGTTCTGGAGGCTGAATGCTGGGCTCCTGCGTGGTGAGCTGTGTGACTCAGCCATGCCACCTCTCCTCCCTGAGCTTCCGTGTTCTTGTCTAAACATGCGGATCGTTGCTCTTTTGCCCAGAGAGTGCCTGGCAGATAGAAGGCAGGCAGTTACATATTAACCCTTAGTTTCCCTTCACCCGGTTATCTCCATTCTTGAGGGCCAGGCCTGGGACTCACCCACTCAGCACCGGCTGGGCATGCGTTTATTCTGGCCCTGGTGGAATGTGGTGCCAGCTCTCTCTTTATAGCTCTGCTCAGTGCTCTGTAGACTGGGGGGTGCTGAGATCTGAGGTCTGATTCCTGAAGCTCCCCCTTAATCAACAAATAGCCCCTCCCCCTCCACTACTCGGTTTACATGTATGTGTAGGTCTGTCATCAAAGCAAGTGCAGTATATGGCAGTGGAGGGCCACATCTGACCTCTGGCTTCCCCCTTTCAGGGGTCACACAGGCCCCACGGTCCATCCTTCTTTACCGGTTCTGACCCCAACCCTTCCCCCCACACCACTCTGCATCTGCTGTGGGTCCCATCATTGGTGGCAGTGGCCACACAGACCCCACAGGCAGTCCTCAGTTAGGGGCTGATTAGGGACATTTATAGGTTCCTCCCAAGTCAGGAGCAGCGAACAGTAGGGATACAGTGATTGGTCTTTCCAGCCAGCAGCCAAGTCCCTCTCCAGTTCTTAGTCTCTCAAGTCACGTGGTCCCTTGGCCCTTGCCTCCATGGGCGAAGAAACCAGCCCTGCCCCCCTCTCCCCATCCCCGGTGCCATCCTCTCAAGCCAGAGGAGGAGGAGGTAGCCCACGGTCTTGGCGCTGCTCTCCTCCAAGTCTCCTCTCCGTGCCACTGTCTGCGATGCCACTGCTCTCGGCGACCTCAGGGAACTTGAACGTGCTCGCCTTCCAAGGGCCTTGGGGGTTTCTCTCTTTCCTTCACAGGTGGCTCATAGTTACAGACGGGGAAAGCAAGGACAATTGACCAGTCCCCCCTGAGTGTCACGTGCGCCCTGCTAGCCTCGTCCCACCCAGTCATTTGGTGGAAGTGTGAAGGCCCTGGGTGGGAGAGCCATACTAAGATAGTCCACTCCACCCCAGGAGACTTACTGAAACCTAAGCAGAAGCTCCGGGAGCTTGTTTCCTTGGTGTCCTCAAATGACTCCTGCCTTGGCATGTGGTGCATGTCCGTGTCTGCAGGCATGCCTTCACCCAGGAGGGGACAGTCCGTAGTGAATCTTCCATGAGATACCACAGGGGGACACATAAAAAGTAAAACCAATTCATTGCCATTTGAATGACCGTACAGGACAGGGTAGAACTGCCCCGTGAGTTTCCGAGACCGTAACTCTTGCCAAGAGTAGAAAGCCTCTTTCTCCCACAGAGCGGCTGGTGGTTTCGAACTGCGGACCTTGTGGGTGGCAGCCCAACACCAGCAGGGGTCAGGTGGCTTTGTCAGCCTTGTCTCAGGCCCCCGCTGACCCTTGGCCCCGTGTCTTGCAGGCAGACGCGTGCCACGCCTACCAGATTGTCCACCGCAACGGTGTCCCCGACGAGCAGATCGTGGTGATGATGTATGACGACATTGCCAACGACACGTCGTGAGTAGGGCCCTTTGGACGGGGTGACACGGACCTGGGGGCTTCCAGGAAGAAAGAGAGGCACGTACAGACGGGTGCAAATGCAGAGCACAAATGAGCCCTCCTTCGGGCCTAGGCCCCCCTGGCGAAAGCCCACTTGAGCCGCTGGTCCCCTGGCAGTGAGAGAGCGGGGAACGTGGGTCCTGAGGGGGGGGGGGCTCTTGTTTGGCCCTTTGAAAGGCCCTCTACAGATGTTACTTCTCCCTTTGGGAACTCCATGTTGCTGCAAAGGGACCCCAGAGGCAGTGTCACTGGACGCAGAAGACCCTTGTTTGGAGGCTAGACCCCAAGGCCCTTCTCTCTACACCCTTCACTATGTTTGTTGAATTTGATTTTAAATGAACTCAGCCATGCCTGCTTGTGCGTGTGTGTGTGGCACTGAAGCACCCGCTCTAATGATCTCAGCCCCTCAGTGTGTGTGTGTGTGTGTGTGTGTATGTGTGTGTGGCACTGAAGTACCCGCTCTAATGATCTCAGCCCCTCAGCTGCCCTGTGGTGGCCTCCAGGGTGGGCACTCCCCCAGACTGGGATCTCGGGCTCCCTTGGCATTCTGAGCTGTGGGCATGTCAGCTCTCATAGGAAAGGCTTGTGTCTGCCCCGGCCTGGTTCTGAAAGTAGTTTTATGCTCAGAGACCATGCTTGGTAGCACGATCAAACGTTCACAGGTTTCTAGAGGAGGGAAGGAAGGAGTTACTGTGCTCAGCTGCTAACCGAGAGGCTGGTGGCTCTTGGCCACCCAGGGGTCCCAGGAAGAAAGGCCAGCCATCAACTTAGAAAAGTCAGCTGGGGACAAGCCAGGCCGTCCAGCCCTTCTGAGACAAAGCCACCGCCGTGATGGGGAGTCTGCTGGGTGACAGCAGGTGGTGACTGTCACCAGGGGGCCAGAGGAGCCCTTTGCTGCTCTTGTCCAGGACCCCCGGCAGCAGTGTCTCTGGGATGGGGGCACCGTGAGCCCCCAGCTGCTAGCGTCAATAACAGCATCAGCTGCTTGCTTCCTGTCATGCCCATCGTGTCGTGTGGTTTCCTTTTCAGCAACCCCACCCCAGGCGTCGTGGTCAACAGGCCCAACGGCTCGGACGTCTACAAGGGCGTCCTGAAGGACTACACTGGTGAGGTGAGCGGCTGGCGGGTCTGGTTCTCCCTGGGACGAGTCCCCCCCTGGTATTGCCAGGCTCCGAGCCTCACCAGGCTGGTTTTCGTGTTTGGGGTCATCTCCTAGGACTTGTAGAAGAAAGAAAAGTGTCAGGTGTCCACTCAGCGTCGGTTTCTTCGAGGCCAGTCTGGGTGCCACCTGCTTCTCTTTCAGTGTCGCCACGCTGATTGGAGGTCACCTGTGCGCTCTCAGGAGACCCGCGCTCTCTCCGCGCTAGGCCCCTGAAGATGTCTCCGGAGCCAGTTCGCGTTGTGTCGCTCCTCTTGCCCAGTGTCAGCCCTGCCAGAGGCCGAGGCCGTTTGAGTTTGGCTTGCTTTTTACAGTGCTGTAATGACTTCGGCTTCGCCGGTTTCCCAATCCTTTCGTAAATTCAGAGGGTTCTTCCCCAAAGAACCCAAACTGACTGACCATGACCCTGTAGGCCAGGGTGGAACTGTCCCCGTGGGTGTCCGAGGCGGTCACGCTTTACAGGAGCAGAAGGCCTCACTTTCTCCCATGGAGCACCAGGTGGTTTTGAACTGCTGACCTTGCAGTTAGGCCAATGCATAACCACTACGCCACCACGGCTCCTCTCAGAGGGAGCTTAGGGACGAATATTTCCTATGATGAACAATTGTCTGATGTTTTGCAATTCCTTCACCTTTACTTCTTTTTAAAATTTTTTTTCAATTCAGTACAATTACATTTCAGGCATCATATGTGTAAGATGGATGGTCCTGGTTTTAAGAATATTAAGATGATTTCCTTTTGTCGTTATATAAAGGATCCCGGTGGTGTTACTAAGTTATGTGTTGATGTGCTCAGCACAAGGTCAGCAGTTCGAAACCATCAGCTCAGGGGAAAAATAAGGCTTCCTACTTCGGTAAAGATTTACAGTCTCAGAAACCCACAGGGGCCGTTCTGCTCTGCCCTACAGGGAGACGAGTCAGCATCAAGTGAAGGCAGTGAATCTGGCTGATTGGGTTTTATGGGCCCTGTGGGACAGGCATTGGGTTGTTGACAGACAGGTCAGCGGTTCAAACCCATCAGCTGCTCCCTGGGAGAATGAGGCGACTGGCTACTCCTGTAAAGATTTATAGCCCCGGAAACTCCCTATTGGGTCACCGTGAGGGCTCCACTTGAAGGCTGTGGGCGGTAGTGAGTACAGTTAACGTCTTGGAAATGACTAGAATCTAGAATGTGGGGCTTGGGGGTGCACGTTGCCGAATAGCTGTTTTGAAGAGTGGCGTTATTCACACTGGAGTCCCAGGTGACGCACACAGTCAGCTGCTATGGCTGGGGAGTTGAGCTTGCCCAGGGTACCTCAGAAGAAAGGCCTGGTGATCTCCTTTACAGCCATCGGCCCTTAAAAATTCTATGGGGTGCTGGACTCGGGGCGCCATGAATCAGAAGGGCAACTGTGTGTCCGAAACACTTACACTTAGAGTGTCCCTGGAACTCGGCCTCGCAGGATGGGGAAACTGAGTAGGAGTGGGGGTCACTGACCCCTTTGTCTCACTTTCTTTCTTGGGGGTGTCCTCTTCCTCAGGTGGCCCACATCCTTGGGCTTCTTTCTCCCCACAGACTACCCAATAGTCAGGGAGCGGCAGTTGACTGAGGCACCATCACCCACAGACAAGATGCTCTTTGGGCAGCGGTCACGTGCACATTCCTCTAACCTTGCATTGGGACCTTCTTGGAGCCAAAGTGTTTGCTTTTCAACCTTGAGCCTTGGCGATGCTTGGCCCAGCAACTTGGGCCTCCCCGCCCCCTCTCTGTAAAGCCCTTGCATTGGGAATAACTGCTTCCTGCCCCTCCCCGATGCCTTATAGGACGTCACCCCAGAAATCTTCCTCGCTGTGCTGAGAGGTGACGCAGAAGCAGTGAAGGGAAAAGGTTCTGGAAAAGTCTTGAAGAGGTAAGGTCTGGTTCCTGGAAGCAGGAGAATTAGTG